CATTCGCTTGCTTAAACTCAACGTTGATTCGGATTCCGCAGAACTGGGTTGAATATGAAAAAGTATTTGTTGTTAACATTCTTTTTTCATTCGGTTTTTCCAGTTACGAGTCCTTTTTAAAGCTGATCGTTTTATGTTCATTTTGTTTAGTTCTTTTTTCGTCACAGATTTAATGTTTAGTATAGAGCTTAGAAAAAATTCGCAGTGTGAGGTAGGCAAGAAGTAAGGTATGTAGAAACATCAGCACGGCAAAGGGCACTCCTTTAAAGGCATGGAAGGGCAAAAATACTTTAAGTCAAGTGATAGCGATTGCTGTATGAGTCGTACGATTTTTGAATCAAGCGCGGTCAACGCCGGGCCATGCTGCTAGTATTAAATATCTTAAAGGTCATTGCCAAAACCATGAAAGAATTTTAGGAAAACTATTTCTTTGTGGAACCGACTTCCAAGAGCATGCTTTCCTGATCACTACAATCTTAACCCGTTCAAGTCTAGGGTTAACCGTTATTTTCCCTACATATCCGCATCGACCAGCTTCTCACGAACCACTGCCCTGTGGAACCGACTCTCAAATAGATGATTCCCTAAGAACTACAATCTTAACCTGTTCAAGTCTAGGTTTAATCATTATCTTCCTTACATATCTGCATCGACCAGCTTCTTCTCACAAACACTGCTCAGTGGAACCGACTCTCAAATAGATGATTCCCAGAGCACTACAATGCTAACCTTTTCAAGTCTAGAGTTAACCGTTATCTTCCCCTTCTATCTACATAAACTGCTTCCTACTGTAATCCTCTTATTCGAGTGGCCCCTGAGCATTGTAGTGTGGACGACACTGTAAAAAAAAGAAAAAAAAAGAGTGTCGTCAGAAAAAAAATGAAAAGAAAGTCAGTCGTCAGACGGCACAAAGAAAAAGACTTTTACGTCACTGTAACACTTTTCTTCAAGGAAACGTTCCTTGGAAGCCACTGATTAATTGCGGATGCGACCTTTTCCATTACTTCTGATTAATTCTCTTCCAGGTTCAGGTTGGGACTCTACCAGACGGCCAGTGCCTTGCGTGGTCCGTTCGTCTGTCCAACTGAAGGAGTCCAATAGAAAAACAAACCCATTCTCAATCGCAAGCCAACAGACTTTAGTCTGTCCTCTGCAACCATTTCATGCATTCGGATTTCTTTATCGACTTCGTCAATCTCGGCGTTGCGCGTTCCAAGCATGGAGATGTCAGTGTACCGAAATAGCCCTCAGGCTGCACAGGAAAGGCTTCAGTGCAATGACAATGGGTGAGAGGGTGCAACTTTGACAAATGGATCTGGACAATTGTCAATTTTAACACCTGTAAATGCCTGTTAAGCATCATTAAGGGCGGAACATTACTAATCCCAACCTCTCCATGTTTGTTCAAAGGTCAACATACCCCTGGTGAAACGTTAGAGAATAGTCTTCTGTTCCATCCAGTGGTTGAGGAGCAGTTCCAGCAAGGGGTCAAACATGGGTGATGTGAGATACTTAACCAATTCAGCATTGATTAGGGACTTTAATACTTTCCTCAAAAGAGATAAAAGGATAATAGGCTTCGATGTTACCACATACCCACTTCCACCATATTTCCATGGGTCGGATACAATCGGCCAGGGGTCACCAAATTTTTTTCACAGAGCGACAGATAACTGAGAATGACGAGTGCGGAACGCATAACCATATTGTTCAATACAATACACTGAATGCACTAAAAACAAAGACAACAAACATAATTATTTACTAAAATGTCATCCAAGAAGGCGATAATGGCAATAAAATATATCACACCAAGTGCGCACGTATCCGAATCTCACAAACTAAGCAGCAAAAGAAGTTTTGTGAGATTTGTAAAACTGGCGTTTATCTTTTAAGATATAATTAATATTTGTTTTGGTATTGCTGCATGAGAGAACTTTTACCACAGACGAAGGTATATGTGAAGAATTTCGAGATTTCTTCCAAAGGCTTTTCACCAGGGAGGCCGAATACGATACAATTAAATAACTGCTTTCAAATATTAATCATTCAACCTCGTTACATGTGCTGACTTTAAATACTTTAGATTTTATGAGTTCAGGCAAAATATATGACATAATTTGCTGAAGTCAGTCCTTTTTATATAAGGCACTCTTCAAACCGGCAATGCAAATTAAAACATAATTGCTGCAGCAGACTCGTAATTACTTTTCTTAGAAACTTCATTGCAGGCACTTACGCAAAAAAGCTCTCGGATATGAAAAGTTGCAAAAAATTGCAGAATTTTTCACAGATTTTTCCAAAAAGTTATATTACCGCCAGATGCAAAAATCAGATTTGGTCAAACCTGATTGGCTAATTTACATTTATTTTAATTTTTTCTACATAGTAAGTTTAACCACCATGTATTGATAATTCCATATAAATAATTATATTTTAGTTCATTTATGGCACAGTGAAGCGGCGGGTCGGATGAACTGACGTCGGGGGCCGTAGTTTGGTGACCCCTGCAATAGGCGAATCCAGGTGCGAAAGTACGGTACGAATCCGGCTGCAGACAAGACAGCCGACATTTCTTTCACTCGATCAAAGACCTTGGATTGATCCAAATTGATCAGCGCAGCTTTACCGTCGACATATTTTATGAAGACTAAATGAAGATTATCTCGGATCATCCTACCTTTTGTAAAACGTCTGTTCAGGGGATATCAGACGATCAAACACAACTTACAACTGATTTGCCAGGACCTTGGCCCAAATATTTAACTCTGCGTTTAGCATCGTTAAGGGCCGAAAATTATTAATATCTGTTCTAATGTAACAGCGTCATATTACCCCTCGTGAAACATTGAAACAGTCCCCTGTTCCATCCAATGGCTGAAGAGCAGTTCCAGTACGGGGGCAAACATAGACGACATTTTCTTGGTATCCAGTGTTTTATCCTTCCCGATCTTCTTTAACGTTTCCCAGATGTCTTCCTCTGATGTGCCGCCCTCGCTACTAAACGCTCCAGTTGCCTCGAATCAGTTAAATAGTTATCGAATTGGATCGTATTTGGTCTCTGTTGTGGTAGGATCCACCTAATTTGCATAGTGGAGTACCGACCATATAAATATGGTTGGTACCGGGAAGAGAGGGAGGAATCAAGAGATTCAACCAGAGACTCTGCCCGACTGCGACTCAGTCAACACATTCTCCAGGAACGGTCTTACCAGGAATATACAAAAGACTATATGTAAATATTGTGTACACTTTCTTGTTTCAATACATTTTGTTCTAAGTACATTTTGTGTTGCATTATTATTCCATGCATTAGTCAAGTTTCAACAATGGCGACGAGGATGCGATAATAATATAAGACACTAGAATCTCGAGTAGAGGACGCTGTTAAATCGAGAGATATTGATAAGGTAGCCATAACTAATCTGACTTCCTTGCTGAACAAGAAGAATCAAGCTTAAGCAATCAGGACTAGATTAAATAGAAATTATTGCATTGTATATTCCTGGTAAGACCGTTCCTGGAGAATGTGTTGACTGAGTCGCAGTCGGGCAGAGTCTCTGGTTGAATCTCTTGATTCCTCCCTCTCTTCCCGGTACCAACCATATTTATATGGTCGGTACTCCACTATGCAAATTAGGTGGATCCTACCACAACAGTCTCCCTGGTGAAAAGCCTTCGGAAGAAATCTAGAAATTCTTCACATATACCTTCGTCTGTGGTAAAAGTTCTCTCATCCAGCGATGTGACAATGGCGATATGACGATCAATTGGATTTCGATGTTCTTGCATACACAGTTTTGCAGTCTCGGCAGACATTCTATTTAATCTAGTCCTGACTGCTTAAGCTTGATTCTTCTTGTTAAGCAAGGAAGTCAGATTAGTTATGGCTACCTTATCAATATCTCTCGATTTAACAGCGTCCTCTACTCTAGATTCTAGTGTCTTTTTCATCACTACTCTCTGTTACATCGCCTGCTCCGATAAAAGCAAAAGACTCTTAAGGTGACTCCACCACTTATTCACAAACACAGACCCCATCCGTTTATTCTGCATTGTAAGTATTAGCTGTTTTCAAATAACCTTCACATCCAACAAGGACGTATTGAATTTCCAGTAACCTTAGGTTTTGCCTTCTCTAACAGTATCTGAACTCGGAGAGGCCTAGAGTCCGAATGAACTCTACTTTGAAAACTTGGACAACCTAAGAGCACTAAGTTGGCTCTTCTAATTAAAACCCGGTCGATGTAGCCAGATCGCTGCACCTTACCCAGACCGACCCTATCTGTCCAAGTTCACTCTACTCGCTTCGAGATCAAGATTGATGACAAATTTACGAAAGTTATTTTTTTTTATATCTGTGCTGATGACTCGACCATTTTCTTCCATCTCGATAATAAGTCAGATCAGTTCGATAAGGTCAGATTGGTAGCTAATCTAAAAAATGACCAAATGGAGCAAGGAATGGCTTGTTGATTTTAACGCCTCCAAAAGGAAACTTCTCTCTATCAATCATCAGAAAAAAACTGCTTCCCGCCTCCTATCATCATAGCTGATACTAACTTCCACGACACAGTGAACCAACTTTCTTAGTACCTGACCCAGCAATGGATTCAATATAGTCTTTTCACTTTATGCCAGCCGAGAACGTTAGCTCAAAATGTCACAATGAGCCACTCTCCCGGAGGTTAGCATCATCAATGCAGATGGAAGGGAGAAATGGGTCTCTCGTATGATTAATAGAGAGCCGTTTAGTCTTGGAGGCGTTAAAATTAACAAGCCATTCTTTGCCCCAGTTAACAACAGATAATCAGCCTCCAATTTGACTTTATCGAGCTGATCGGATTTACTATCTAGACAGGAGTAAATGGTTGTATCATCAGCATGGATACCAACCTGAGAGCTGATGCTTTCTGGAAGGTCATTAATGAAAATTAAAAACAAAGTAGAACCAAGGATAGAGCCCTGGGGACATCTGCATTAGTATGAAAGGATCTAGAGGAGTGGCCATTCAGGATAACTTTCATTTCATGATTTGATAAGAAAGACTGGAACAGTTCAAAAATTTGTCCAGCGACACCAGAACTTTTCAATTTGGGATGAAGACCTGTATGTCATACTCTTTCCAAAGCTACAAACTGACCTTCGACCTTTTTTTTATCTAGAGCCTAATAGACGCTTTCTGCAATTATCATTACTACATCAGCAGCTAACCTGGAGAAACGGAAGCCGAATTGCTTGTTTGAAAAAAACAACAACAACAAAAAACCTGCGATATAAGATGCTTAACCAATTAAGTATTGATTAGGGTCTTTAATGGTTTCCACAAAAGAGGATAGAAAGCTAACAGGCCGGTAGCTGGAAGGGTCGGATGGCTCACCTTAATGCTTATAAATTGGAACAACAGGTTAGGATTTCCAGCAGGCAGGAAAGCAAGAAGCAGCGTGGCATTTATTATACAGTTTCGAGAGAACAGGAGCCAGTTCGACAGCACACTTCTTAAGAACTATTACAAGTGTACTATCAGGTTCACATACTTTGTGGAGATCCAGTTTAGATGTTATAGCAGAAAACATAGAAAGGGTTATATGCTCATCACTCAACAGAGACTCAGTTTTAAATGGGAACTTATGCAAATACACTACAGATGAGTCGAGTTTGAGGAGAATTTACGGACGAAACATTTAGCTTTATCAGCAGAAGATATTAACGCTTCAAATTGATTAAAGAGAATAGGAATGGAAAACTTACTCTTATTTAATACACTATTACAGTAATCACGAGAGATGCAATACGGTACCTCATTTTCTCAGCAAATAGAGACTTGGCTCTTTCGAAGACGCGTTTACATTTATTACGTGCAGCACCGAACAAGCGTCTGTTGTGATGGGAACTGTCACGCCGGTACAGCTGGAAATAATGGTTTCTGGGACTATAGCGGATAGCATGCTGGCGTGAACCCTCCAGAAGATTGAGCTTTCACCTTGTGTTTCTGAGAAGGAATGAAATTGTAGTAGGATTAGGTAGTAGTAACACTATATGGAAATATACACTTTCCTTTTCACTAAGAGAGTGACAAAGAAATCTCTCTCTCTCTCTCTCTCTCTCTCACTTCTCTATTACACATCCTTCCTTCCTTCCTTCCTTCCTTCCTTCCTTCCTACTCCTGGTAACTGACAGAACCAGGACAAAGTTTCTGTAGGGCAGTGAACGTCATAAAAACATCAACCAATGAAAACACGTCCCGCCAAAAATCAAACGGAAAACACGATTGTGTCAGTCCCAATTAAAAGAAGAAAAAGAAAAGGAGGAGGAGGAGGATGAGGAGGAGGAGGAGGAGGAGGAGGAGGAGGAGGAGGAGGAGGAGAAGAAGAAGAAGAAGAAGAAGAAGAAGAAGAAGAAGAAGAAGAAGAAGAAGAAGAAGAAGAAGCTGGCATTAGCGAGCGGGTTGGAGATTTATCGGCTGTGAGTTTGACCGGGGGTACAACTCAAGAAGAAGAGGAAGGAAGGAAGGAAGGAAGGAAGGAAGGAAGGAAGGAAGGAAAAGGTTCGATTTTTAGTAGTTCGAGACGCATGGGTTGGAGATTCATCGGATGTTGAGTTTGACAAGACGTACAACTCAAGAAGAAAAAGAAGAAGAAAGGATGAATTCAACAAATTAATCTCTGTCAGTCCTGTCAACAAATTAATCTCTGTCAGCGACCCAGTATGAACTCTCAAATCACAAAAGGACTAAAACGACAGTCACCCACTTTAACGACTGTAACCAAATGGAGTCAACAATGGTACTATAGACAGTAAATTTGGCTTTTACTTATTAGTCCAACCTTCATCTCTGTATACCATAGAATCATGTACACCGGCTTTGACTCAAGAGGTTTACAAAGGTTTTGTTTTATATTTTTGTATATATATATTTTTAACATTTTTTATTTTATTTTTATTTTTTTATCTTTTTCTTTAATTAACACTTTTGTTTTAAGCATTTTTTTATTTATAGGGGTAAAAAAAAACAATAAGTTGTGCGGGGTAAGAAAAAACTACGGGAATAAAACTATGGTAAACAAGAAATTCAGTCCTGTGTTCCATTTAGAGCAGTGGGTCTCAACCAGGGTCCATATGGACCCTAGGGGTCCATGTAACATTACTGGAGGTCCACACAAAAAATAGAAAATTGGGGCTCCACGATAATATTTTAGTGGTCCATACAGCAATTCCACTTCCAACTGAGAATTTGAAATTCTACAGTAATCTACGCCATATTAAAATACTAAAAATAGAAAAACGAGCAGAAAACAAGATCAAGCGATGTAAATTAGCGTCCCTTTTACTCGAACGAATGTTTTGATTGTAAAAGTTGAATAAAAACTGAGAAGGATATATAAAGGAAAGATTATATACTGGTCGTAACAGCAATTGTGTCCAAATCGTGTAACAGCTTGCGATAATTGTCCATCCCACAAAATGTTTAATATCTAAAGAAACAGTAAACTAATTCTGTTTCTGCCTTCCAGGTTTTCAGATAAGACGTTTAGCCATCTTGACACCATTTGTCGTAAGAATCACTGCTGAAAAACTCCGAGTTATTCACCTAGAAAGAGAACTGGTTAAAATCGTTTTGTGTCAGCCCCACTCTCTTCCCAACTGAGCAATGGTGAGAGGAAAAAGATCATTCAAGCGTTACCAACATTCATACTCTGGCTTCAATCTTCAAAGTCCATTCAAGAAGCATCAAGAGAACGGTGAATAAGTTTACAAAAAGAGGGAGGAAAACGGGATCAGGAAATCACAACAGCAAGAGGGATTATCATTTCAGCTTAGAGCTCAATACATTCTTATTGTTCAAAGTAGAGTCCAATAGTGTTATAAAAACCTCGGAGAATTCCAGTAAGATATCTTTAATCATTTCTAAGATACAACGGTTCAAACAATCTAACTCTTGGACAATTTTGCTGTTACACGATTTGGAGAAATTTGCTATTACACCCAGTAGAAAAGAAAATTATATAGAGATTCCTAAACTTATCTATTAGCAAAAAATAAATTAAGCTTTTTTTTTTTTTTTTTTTTTTTCAGTGAACGATTATGGCGGTGCACCAAAATAATTAAGAACAAAAGTGATGCATGTGTAAAAAAAAAAACTGATTTAGAAGAATAATTTAATGTCGATAAGTTTAGTGAATAAAAATACTTTGTATTACTGGTGGCGGAGGATTGGTCAGTGGGCGGGGAGAGGAAAAAGGTAAATTGTTTTCGTGTGAGGGTGAAAGAATAAGAGAATTGAGGAAGGGGGAAAACTTTCTTTTTTACCTGTTTTCATTGTGAGTTGTTTTTTTTTCTAGTAAGGAAGCAGGAGTGTCTATAGAAGGTTTCACCTTACATTTTGGAGTATAACAATGCAGGCGAAAGCAGCTCACTCTAATGACTCAATATTGGTGTCCTTAGAATAACAAAATTTTCAACAGCAGTGCTATATAGTTCTTTATTTTCCCGAGGCCAAGTCTGGTCCTTGAGTTTTAAGAGTATCCGGATAAGATTTGTTGTTCACTCCTGCATCGTTCGGTCTGAATTCCTGTAAAAACTGAGGTTCTGTTGCATAAATTTTGGTGTTCAATCCTGCATCGTTCGGTCTGAATTCCTGTAAAAACTGAGGTTCTGTTGCATAAATTTTGGTGTTCACTCCTGCATCGCCTGGTCTGAATTCCTGTAAAAACTGAGGTTCTGTTGCATAAATTTTGGTGTTCACTCCTGCATCGCCTGGTCTGAATTCCTGTAAAAACTGAGGTTCTGTTGCATAAATTTTGGTGTTCACTCCTGCATCGCCTGGTCTGAATTCCTGTAAAAACTGAGATTCTGTTGCATAAATTTTGGTGTTCTGGTCTAAATTTTGGTGAGGTTCTGTTGCATAAATTTTGTGTCCTGCATCGCCTGGTCTGAATTCCTGTAAAACTGAGGTTCTGTTGCATAAATTTTGGTGTTCACTCCTGCATCGCCTGGTCTGAATTCCTGTAAAACTGAGGTTCTGTTGCATAAATTTTGGTGTTTCATCGCCTGGTCTGAATTCCTGTAAAAACTGAGGTTCTGTTGCATAAATTTTGGTGTTCACTCCTGCATCGCCTGGTCTGAATTCCTGTAAAAACTGAGGTTCTGTTGCATAAATTTTGGTGTTCACCCTGCATCTGCCTGGTCTGAATTCCTGTAAAAACTGAGGTTCTGTTGCATAAATTTTGGTGTTCACTCCTGCATCGCCTGGTCTGAATTCCTGTAAAACTGAGGTTCTGTTGCATAAATTTTGGTGACTCCTGCATCGCCTGGTCTGAATTCCTGTAAAAACTGAGGTTTCTTTTGCATAAGTTTTGGTGTTCACTCCCTGCATTGCCTGGTCTGCATAAATTCGCCTGGTCTAAAAACTGAGGTTCTGTTGCATAAATTTTGGTGTTCACTCCTGCATCGCCTGGTCTGAATTCCTGTAAAAACTGAGGTTCTGTTGCATAAATTTTGGTGTTCACTCCTGCATTTGGTCTGAATTTCCTGTAAAAACTGAGGTTCTTTGCATAAATTTTGGTGGCATGTTCTGAATTCCTGTAAAACTGAGGTTCTGCATAAATTTTGGTGCCTGGTCTGAATTCCTGTAAAAAACTGAGGTTCTGTTGCATAAATTTTGGTGTTCCTCCTGCATCGCCTGGTCTGAATTCCTGTAAAAACTGAGGTTCTGTTGCATAAATTTTGGTGTTCACTCCTGCATCGCCTGGTCTGAATTCCTGTAAAAAGGTTCTGTTGCATAAAGTGTTTCCTGCATCGCCTGGTCTGAATTCCTGTAAAACTGAGGTTCTGTTGCATAAATTTTGGTGTTCACTCCTGCATCGCCTGGTCTGAATTCCTGTAAAACTGAGGTTCTGTTGTTGCTGCATCGCCTGGTCTGAATTCCTGTTGAGGTTCTGTTGCATAAATTTTGGTGTTCACTCCTGCATCGCCTGGTCTGAATTCCTGTAAAAACTGAGGTTCTGTTGAGGTTCTTTTGCATAAGTTTTGGTGTTCACTCCTGCATCGCCTGGTCTGAATTCCTGTAAAAACTGAGGTTCTGTTGCATAAATTTTGGTGTTCACTCCTGCATCGCCTGGTCTGAATTCCTGTAAAAACTGAGGTTCTGTTGCATAAATTTTGGTGTTCACTCCTGCATCGCCTGGTCTGAATTCCTGTAAAAAACCGAGGTTCTGTTGCATAAATTTTGGTGTTCTCCTGCATTTTGGTCTGAATTCCTGTGAGGTTCACTCATAAATTTTGGTGTTCACTCCTGCATCGCCTGGTCTGAATTCCTGTAAAAACTGGAGGTTCTGTTGCATAAATTTTGGTGTTCACTCGCCTGCATCGCCTGGTCTGAATTCCTGTAAAAACTGAGGTTCTGTTGCATAAATTTTGGTGTTCACTCCTGCATCGCCTGGTCTGAATTCCTTAAAAACTGAGGTTCTGTTAAAACATCGCCTGAGGTTCTGTTGCATAAATTTTGGTGTTCCTCCTGCATCGCCTGGTCATTCTGTAAAAACTGAGGTTCCATAAATTTTGGTTCACTCCTGCAATTCCTGTAAAACTGAGGTTCTGTTGCATAAATTTTGGTGTTCACTCCTGCATCGCCTGGTCTGAATTCCTGTAAAAACTGAGGTTCTGTTGCATAAATTTTGGTGTTCACTCCTGCATCGCCTCTGGTCTGAATTCCTGTAAAAACTGAGGTTCTGTTGCATAAATTTTGGTGTTCACTCCTGCATCGCCTGGTCTGAATTCCTGTAAAACTGAGGTTCTGTTGCATAAATTTTTGGTGTTCACTCCTGCATCGCCTGGTCTGAATTCCTGTAAAAACTGAGGTTCTGTTGCATAAATTTTGGTGTTCACTCCTGCATCGCCTGGTCTGAATTCCTGTAAAACCGGAGGTTCTGTTGCATAAATTTTGGTGTTCACTCCTGCATCGCCTGGTCTGAATTCCTGTAAAACTGAGGTTCTGTTGCATAAATTTTGGTGTTCACTCCTGCATCGCCTGGTCTGAATTCCTAAAAAACTGAGGTTCTGTTGCATAAATTTTGGTGTTCACTCCTGCATCGCCTGGTCTGAATTCCTGTAAAAACTGAGGTTCTGTTGCATAAATTTTGGTGTTCACTCCTGCATCGCCCTGAATTGTAAAAAACTGATCGCCTGCCTGGTCTGAATTCCTGTAAAAACTGAGGTTCTGTTGCATAAATTTTGGTGTTCACTCCTGCATCGGAGGCCTGGTCTGAATTCCTGGTGAAAAAACTGAGGTTCTGTTGCATAAATTTTGGTGTTCACTCCTGCATCGCCTGGTCTGAATTCCTGTAAAAACTGAGGTTCTGTTGCATAAATTTTGGTGTTCACTCCTGCATCGCCTGGTCTGAATTCCTGTAAAAAGGTTCTGTTGAGGTTCTGTTGC